CAGCTTCTTGGAGCCACAGGTGAGGGTTAGGTGACGGGTGGACACCAAAGGTGGATGAGCAGCCCTGAAAAGGGCAAGCCCTCACACCACAGGTCTGAACAGCCCATAGATCCCAATAATAGCGAATAGTTAACATTCATGTAACACTTACTAAGTGCCAGGCACTATGCTAAGTGCATCACAATTAAGTCTGTCATTTGATTGTCATAACCACCCTAGGGTGTAGGGGCTATTATTATCATTCTCATTTTACAGGTGAGGAAACTGAGGCAAACAGAGGTTAAATGATTTACCCAGATCTCATAGCTAGTGTCTGAGGCCAGATTTGAATTCAGGTCTTCCTGGCTTCAGGCCCAACACTCTCTCCACCAAACCACCTAGCTGTCCCTAAATTGGGCCTTTCCGATCCCCCAGTTCCTAGCGTCCTTCTTTCCCAATCTGCATATATATTGCTTCTATACCACAGAATGTAAGCTCTTTGAGGGCAAGGAGTGCTCTACTTCTGTCTTTTTAGCCTCAGTATAGTGCTTGACATGTTGTGTGAACTGAAAAATGCTTGTTGAATGAATGAAAGAATGACACATTTCTTTACAACCTGGCCCCTTCCTATTTTTCTAGTCTTGTGACATGTGACTCCCTTCCCCGTTCTCTCCCATTCAATCATACTGGCATACTTGCTCTTGCATACAGATGACATTTTATCTCTAGTCTCTACAACTCTGTTTTACCTGTTGCTTATATCTAGAACACATTGGCTTCTCCCTGCCCTTTGGAATCGCTAGTTTATTTTAAGATCCATCACAAGGGCCAATTTCTACTTGAAGTCTTTCCTGGTCTCTGGAACTTCTGTTACCCACCTTCCCCAAACTGCCCAGTGCTCATTTTGTATCTATTGTGTATCTATTTTTGTATATGGTTCCATGTACATACATATGTGTCTATGTATATGTGTATCTATCTATCTATCTGAAAAACTCTGGGCATCTAGGTGGTGAAGTAGATACAGCATCAGGTTTGGAGTCCAGAGAGTTCAAATCAGCCTCAGACACTTAGGAGCTGTGTGACCCTGGGGCAAGCCAATTAACCTTGTTTGCCTCAGTTTCCTCATCTGTAAAATGAGCTGGAGAAGGAAATGGCAAACTATTCTAGTATCTTTGCTAGGAAAACCTCAAATGGGGTCGTGAAGATTTGAACATGACTGAAAATGATTAAACAACAACATGTACTGGACAGAGGCAGCTAGATGGCTCAGTGGATAGAATGTTGGGCCTAGAGTCAGGAAGATTCATCTTCCTGAGTTCGAATCTGGCCTCAGACACTTACTGTGTCTTTGTCAAGAAAACCCCAGAGGGGGTCATGAAGAGTCAGACACAACTCAACAACAGCAATGGAAGAGTATATAGTCTCCTCTATTAGAATGAAAGCTTCTTGAAGGCAGGGATTCTTTCATTTTTGTATTTGTATCACCAGTGCTTAGCCCAGCACCAAGCAGGTCTTTAAAAACTGCTTGTTGATTGGTTGAAAGAATTCATCTAATTCAACCCACTTATTTTACTAATGAGGAAATTGAGATAGAGATAAAGTTATTTACCCAAGGTCCCACAGGCAGCTAAACATCAGGGGAGAGGTTTGAATTGATATCTCTGGTTCCAAGGCTAGTGAAGATCTCTCCTGTGCCATGTGTTCCTTCCCCATTTTTTTCTCTCCTATTTATTCCCATCACATACTAGCTCTTCGTTTGGTAGAGAATGTGTTTCAGACACTCTCTTCTCCTAGTATTGTAGCGCCCCAGGATTATTATTATCCTGGTTGCCTAGCAAGAAGGAAATAAAGCACCCATCAGCACACTGCATGGATTAATCATTTTTCCAATCAAGTCAATGAAAGGCTTAGTATTTGTAAGGGATAGTTATTACTCTTCAACATTAACATTCATTAATTAATCAGGACTATGGGCTCTTTGTATTGTGAATCACTATAACCTATAGCTTACTACATTATAATTTCATAAAGATGATTATTTCATGCATGGATATTTTCATAATCACATGCTTTAGCTACTAGAAAAGTGCTCATGAATTGGGCCTTCATAAATAGGTGATTAGCCCAGTTCTCTGCATTTCTACAAAGGCAATGTTTAGCCAAGAATGCTGCATCACAGTACTGAATGAGTTATTAGAATTCATGAGGAGAAAACATGGATTCAGCAAGATAGCAATTAATTAGCACAGACAATTAGATGATGTTCTCTCCAGAGACAGTGTAGCATAATACCTTTATTATAGAATCATAGAGACTAAGAAACTCCCTCCCTCTTTTCCTTCCTTCCTTCCTTCCTTCCTTCCTTCCTTCCTTCCTTCCTTCCTTCCTTCCTTCCTTCCTTCCTTCCTTCCTTCCTTCCTTCCTTCCTTCCTTCCTTCCTTCCTTCCTTCCTTCCTTCCTTCCTTCCTTCCTCTCTCTTTCTCTGTCTCCCCCTGTTTCTGTGTGTCTCTATCTCTCTATTTCTGTCTCTGTCTCTCTCATAGGGTTTAAATGATCACTCTCATTATTGTCTGTCATCCTTCCTGTGAAGGCCAGTCCCTTGACCCATATCTATTTGCCCAGCCTGTCTACCCCATTCTAGCTTCACTTGCTTCCATACTCAGCCCTGATCCCTTTGTCTGACATTTTCATGTTTCACTAGCTGCTACCCTGGACTTTCATGTTCCATTGTTCCTGGTCTGCAAATCAGTAGCCATCTAATTTCTCTGCTGATACTCCTGGGCTGCTTAAAGTCACTGGAGAAAATCACATCAAGCTGCCTTTGCCACTTAGAAGTTTGTGGCACAGATAGAAGCTGCTGGGCTATTGCTGCTATTAGACCATACTCCCCGACCTTTATTACACCCCTGTCTTGTTCCTCATGCCAGCTGCTCCAAATTTCTCTTCCCTGGAACCTCCCCACTCCTTCCTCATCTGCATTTTTAGCAGATGATTTGGCCTCCTTTTTCTGAGAAGATTGAGGCTATTCTGGTGAGTTTCCTCGACCATTCTTTTAATTTTCTCAGGATCATCCCTCTTGCTCATCCTTACCTTTTCTTCCCCCCCCCTCTAGTTATAGAAGAAGACAGAGCCCTCCCCATTACCCTGGGTGATCACTCTATACCTGCTCTTAAACCCTCTTCCTCCTTTTCCTTCCAGGAACTTGTTCTAGTTATCATCTCTGCCTCCTACAACTCAATAAAGTGACTTCACTGATTCACATAGTGAATCAATGCTAGAGTGGAAACCGGAACCCAGGTCCTTTGATGCTGGATTCAGTGCTCTTTTCAGTCATCCATACTCCATTTGAAGACTTCCATTGATGAGGAACTTATTACCTTGAAAGGCAAACCAATTCCATTTTTAAAAAAACAACCCTTCACAATGCCATGCCTTTCCTTTGAGAGCAAGGATAATTTCAAATTGTTTAATCCAGGAGAATTGGAAGCATCGTGAGGGAAGCAATTTTCACTTTTGTCTATGTTATCTCTGCTCTCCCCTGCCCCCTGCTTCCTATGACCATTATAAATGCTTATTGATCACAGAATCATCCTCTTGGAGCTGGAAGGGAGCTTAGGGACTATCTAATTTTAGCAGCCCCCTCATTTTACAGGTGAGGAAACTGAGGCCCAAAGAAGTTAAATGACTTCACACAGCTATCTATTAGTAGAATCAGGACTGGAACTAGGAAGTTCTGATTCCAAAGCCAGCACACTTCCCACCTTCCAAACTGCCTCCCTTGGATTGAACTAAATGAAGGTTGAAAGAAACGGAATTAATCAAACGTAACTAATGCATGTCTTTCTCCCCTTATTTCTCCATTGCCTTTGTTTCTTTATTCAGAGGTTCTTAATCAGGGGTCTGTGAACTTGTTTAGTGTGCATACATATAGTAACATACACACACACACACACACACAGATTTTGAGATATATGGATATAGATAAATATAGAACATGATATAATATGGATATACATATATATATAACATGATACAATGATATGGATAGATATATATTAAATATATAACATGTTACGATAATATAGATAGAGATATATTAAATCTATAACATGATACAATGATATGGATAGAGATCTATTAAGTATGTAACATGGTACAATGATATGGATAGAGATATATTAAATCTGTAACATGATACAATGATATGGATAGAGATATATTAAATCTGTAACATGACACAATGATATGGATAGAGATCTATTAAGTATGTAACATGAGACAATGATATGGATAGAGATATATTAAGTATGTAACATGGTACAATGATATGGATAGAGATATATTAAGTATGTAACATGATACAATAATATGGATAGAGATACATTGTATCACCATGGACACAACTACATATTATACGATATAATAATATGTATATAGGTGTGTTACATAATATGATACAATGTGGATATAGATATTATGTAACAATATGGATATAGATATTATATGACATAATACTATGGATATATAGTATGTATAATATAATCTGGATATAAATATAGTATAGTCCCATGGATATAGATGTTATATATTATAACAATGTGGATATAGCTATAGCATATATCTGATATAATAATATAGCTATAGAGATATATAATGACAATATGGGTACATATATACTGTGATATTACAACATCTAAATATGCAGAAATGATTATATTTCAATATAATTGGTTTCCCTCCTAATGCTATGTATTTTGTCATTTTCATTTAAAGGCACAGGCATCACGTTTCACTGCCGAAGGGGTGAGTCCCGTGACACAGAGAGGGTTAACAACGGCCTCTTTACAGTGACAGGCCGCCCAGGACTGGCGGGCTCCCTCCTTCATTTCGGCGGCCAATTGCTCCTGCAGCCTTTACCCACAGCCAACATGGTGGCCCCTCCCTCGGTGACGCCGAGCGCCAGCAGCAAAGATGGCGCCCTGCCCGACTTCCTGTGCTGCCCCTAACAAAGATGGCCGCCTCACTTCCTGTGCGGGGGTCCTTGCCTCTAACAAAGATGGCGGATGCATGACAGGTTGCCCCAGAGCCGGACTCAAGGGGCCGCTTTCTGAGGGCGTGGTGGCTGTAAGTAACAGGAAATAAGAAACTATGTACCGATCTTTTATGGCAGTCTGTCTGTGATGTCAGGGACCTTCATAGCGGGGCGCCCCCTCCCTGGTCGGGTCCTTTCCTTTGGTATCATTTTAGTGGCTGGTGGACCGGAGCTGGGATGGCTTGGACGTGCTGTGTGACCTCGGGGTGGTCACTTGACCTCTCTGGTCCCCAGACTTTACCAGCCCTTCACCTACTGTGTGACCTCCGGGTGGTCACTTGACCTCTCTGGTCCCCAGACCTCACCTGCCCCCCACCTGCTGTGTGACCTCAGGTGGTCACTTGACCTCTCTGGACCCCAGACTTTATCTGCCCCCCACCTGCTGTGTGACCTTGGGCTGGTCTCTTAACCCCTCTGGTCTCCAGACCTTCCTCTGTCCCTGACCTACTGTGTGACCTCAGGGTGGTCACTTGATCTCTCCAGTGCCCAGACCTTACCTGCCCCCTACCTGCTGTGTGACCTCAGGTGGTCACTTGGCCTTTTTGGTTCCCAGACCTCATCTGTCCCCCACCTGCTGTGTGACCTCAGGTGGTCACTTGACTTCTCTGGTCCCCAGACATTATCCGCTCTCCTCCCCCATCTGCTGTGTAGTCTTTTGACTTCTTTGGTCTCCACACCTCCCTCTGCCTCTGACCTGCTGTGTGTCAGTGTGGTGCAGTGGAACATGCTGGGTTTGGGGTTCAAATTCTGACTTTTGTCAGTTACTCTTTGTATGATCTTGAGCAAGTGAGTTCCCCTTTCTCAGCCTCAGTTTCCCTATCTATAAAGTTGGGATTTAATAACTTCTAAGGTTTCTTTCACATCCATTTCTATGCTGCCTAAAGGCAGCTAGCTGGTAGATGGAAAGAGCACCTGACCTGGAGTCAGGAAGACCTGAGTTCAAATCCAGTCTCAAACACTTACTAGCTGTGTGACCCTGGACAATTCACTTCACTGCTGCCTGCCTCAGTTTCCTCATCTGTAAAATGGGAATAATAATAATAATAATAATAATAATAATAATAATAATAATAGCACCTACCTCCCGGGGTGGTTGTGAGGATCAAAAGTGAGAATATTTGTAAAGCCCCCAGGCATGTAGTGGGTGCTTAATAAATGCCTATTTTCTTCCTCCTGCAGCCTTCGCTGGCTTCAAGCAGTTTCCTCATCTGTAAAAATGGCGAGGTCAGAGTAGATGATCACTTAAATCCTTCCAGCTCCAAATCTGTCCTACTAAGTTGCTTCTGGAGGCAGTGTCTTTCCAACTGGTGGGTGTAAGAAAAATATCTTTAAAAGGCTTGGCGAGGGATGAGTAACAGAAATATTCCTTCCCATCCAGAGCTCCTTCATCCTCCTGCTTGAGCTTTCAGAAGAGGCCTGTATTACGCTGTTTAGTTAGGAACATTCATAGGACATAGATTTAGTGCTTGAGGACATGAGTCCAACCTGCTCATTTCACAGATGAGAAAACTGAGGCCCAGAGCCTTAAAGTGATTTGCTCAGAAAGCAAGAAGCTGAAGTAGAATTTGAACCCAGGTTCTCTGATTCCAAATCCAGAGGTCTTTCCACTTTCTCTCCCTGCCTCTAATAACATGGTGTTCATATTGTAAATCACTTTGGCTCTCATTGACTGGCCAACAATAAGTCCCAGGCCAAGCCCTATTTGGTCATTGTTTGGGTCCTGATTGGCTCAGAATGAATGTAAATAGCAATTGTAGTTTTGGCCAGAAACCCCGGAGTGTCTTCCCCTCCCAGATTGATTTTTTTTTTGATTAGATAAAGAGGCCATTCTCTTCCTCATTTTTTTGTTTTAGGCAATTGGGGTTAAGTGACTTGCCCAGGTCACACAGCTAGTGTCAAGTGTCAAGTCTGAGGTCAAATTTGAACTCAGGTCTTCCTGACTTTAGGGCTGGTGCTCTATCCACTGTGCCACCTAGCTGCCCCTCTCTTCCTCATTTCTTACCTGGCCTTTATCACTGAAGGGGTGTTGCCTCAGTCAAACTGAGTTCTGGGAAAGGCTTTAATTTATAATTAATTAATAATTAATTATAATAAATAATGATTGATCAATCAATTAATAAAAGGTCAAGGTCCCCCACTGCCTCCGGGGCCATCCCCACTCGTCCTGATCTATATCTTTCCACTGGACCCAGATGGCTGGAGGAGAGAGTGAGACTGGGGACTTTGCACAGCCCTGCCTCCCTTAAATCTAATTAACTTTCAAGTCAGGGCATCACCTTCCTGATGTCCTGGTCCTCTTGGAGAACGAAGGACAAACAACAATGACTAGGCCTTAAAGTAGTGCTAAAAAAAAAAAAAGTGGAACCTGAGAGTTCTCTTCCCCCAAGCTTGAACTTGGGTTCCTCTTAACAATTCTGCTTCTGTTACTTAATCCCTGTGTGACTTTGGACAGTTCACTTCCTCTGTCTGTTCCTGTTTCCTCTTCTGTAAAAAAACGAGTGACTCTAAAGGTTCTTCCACCTCTAAATATCCTTGACCTGGCTGGCTTTTGTTTTGTTTTTGGGGTTTTTTTGGTCAATGGGAGTTAAGTGACTCGCCCAGGTCACACAGCTTAGTAAGTGTTATGTGTTTGAGGCCATATTTGAAATCAGGTCCTCCTGAATCCAGGGCCGGTGCTCTATCCACTGCACCACTTAGCTGTCCTGACCTGGCTGACTTAAAGAGGATTAGAATGCAACTGACCTCGAGGCCTCAGTTTCCCTTCTGGTAACATGCCTGGGGGGCCCAGTTTCAGTGCCATCTGTTCAGAGTCTCTGATTCCTATCATTTAAACTGCTCCTGAAATTTTACCTTCTCTGCGAGACTTTGTCTCCTTCCCTTGGCATTGACTGCCCCTGGTGCCTGGAATGGTCTTCCTCCTTAGTCTTCCTCTTTGAATCCCTGGCTTCCTTCAGAACTCAGCTCAAGCACCCACTTTTACATTGGAGGTTCTGAAGATTTCTGGTGTCTGGACCCCTTCCCCCCACTTTTATTTATTTGGATTGAATCTATTGTTATATACTATATTAAAAATGAAAACTGATAAATTTTGAAAGTTATTGTCATTAAAATAATCCCAAATCATTATATCTTAACATAAATAATCTGTTTTTTCTGAACATAACTGTTCAGTTATAATAAAGAATATTTGGTGTGAAATAAAGTTTTATGTAACAGTAGCATCATTTTACATATTTTTGCAAACTCTTTCATGTCTGATTTAATAGAAAATAGATGGATTCTTATACCTGCAGATATCAACTGTTGCCATATATATTGCTTTAGTTGTATATGGAGACAATCTGGCCTTACCCCGATATGTATTTGAAAATGGAGTATTTTAAGAAGTAAATAATGTCTTAGTATTATTATGAAAATAGTTTTGACTGCTTTGACCCTCTGAAAGGGTCTCTGTGACCATGGGAAAGTCTTGTGATCTCCTGAACCTCTAGCAGTTCCCTTCCAAGTCATAGAAAGGTTGAGACCTGCATTATGGAGGGAGTTTCCACACTGGAATTTCCCTGAGCTGCAAAGTCACAGATCCTTTGTGTATTTATATATCTCAGTGATCTGTGTCTGGCACAGGCCTTCCATGGAGGAAAAACAACCAAAGTCTGATTGAAAGGGTGAAGAGGGAGTGGTTTGAAACAAGAATAGAAAAATAAATTGGTAACATATTGGGAGAAGGATAGTATGGAGTACTTTTTAATGATTACAATACCTGCTATTTCTGGGGTATTTTAAGGTTTGCAAAGCACTTTGTAGACCATATCTCACTGGATCCTTATAACAGTCCCAGAAGGCAGGTGCCACAACTATGTTATTCCCACTTTTACAGATAAGGAAACTGAGGCCAAGTGACTTACCCATGATCATGCAGGTAGGAAGGTGGGATTTGAATCCAGCCCTGGCCCGACTCTGAAGTCCTATGTTCACTTCACCAGAGTGCCTCTTCCCCCACCTCCCCTGTCTTGGAATTCTTGACTTCCCTTTTTCTTTATTAACTCTGAGCAACTTCTCTCTAAATTTTGTTGTTTTGTTGTTCAGTTGTTTCTTAGTTGGGTCTGACTCTTTGTGACCCCATTTGGAGTTTTCTTGGCACAGATATTAGGGTGGTTTGCTATTTCCTTCTTCAGCTCATTTTCCAGAAGAAGAAACTGAGGCAAACAGGGTGAAGTGACTGGCCCAGCTAGAAAGTGTCTGAGGCTGGGTTTGAACTTAGATCTTCCTGACTCCCAGCTTAGTACTCTATCCACTGCACCACCTAGTCACCCACATTTTCTCTATATACCTATTGAAAAGGCTACTGGTGCTCCTTAGGAGGATGCTCTAAGCCTAGGTTCAATGGCCAACCCCTGCAGGAAGCCTTTCTTTTGTCTATTTACCCCATTAATTTATATAAAATTTGTATTAACTTATCTGGAATACATTTTTTCTCTCATATATCTCACCCCCAACTGATAAAACGCAACTTCCTTGAGGCTAGGGACTGTTTCCTTGACTGCCACATAGTAGGCACCTAATAAAGGTTTTTAAATTAATATTGTATCCCGACCAGTAGAATGTGTGATTTTTGAGAGCAGGGGTGCTTTAATTTTATTCTTTGTATTGAGGTATCTGTTTGGCTACTCTTTGGACTTGGAGTCAGGAAGACCTGAGTTCAAATCCTGCCTTGAATATTTACTTGCTGTGTGACTCTGGGCATGTTAGTTCACCTTTACCTGCCTCAGTTTCCTCATCTGTAAAATGGGAATGATATTAGTGTCTATCTCCCAGGGTCATTGTGAGGACCGAATGAGATAATAATATCAAAGAATTTCACAAACCTTAAATTGCCATATAAATGCTAGCTATTATTTTTATTTTATTTCCTTACATGTACTTTTAATGGACAAGGAAATAATAAGTTAGAATGGGCTAGAATTCTGGTTGTATGAGAGAAGTCACATCCTCCATCTGACTTACTTCTGGGTGTTTGATCTCATGTACCTGATTGTACATAATGAGATCTTCCGGCTGTTAAGAGCTTGTAAGGTTTTGTCTGTCTGAGGCCATTGGTCTCTTTCCTTCTCAGACAAGATGGAGGCCAGAGATAAGCAGATTCTCCGCTCCCTTCGGCTGGAACTGGGTGCCGAAGTCCTCGTGGACGGACTAGTTCTTCAGTATCTCTACCAGGAAGGGATCTTGACGGAAAACCACGTTCAAGAAATCAGAGCCCAGCCCACAGGCCTCCGGAAGACCATGATGCTGTTGGATATCCTACCTACTCGGGGCCCCAAAGCCTTTGACACCTTCCTTGATTCCCTGCAGGAATTTCCCTGGGTGAGGGAGAAACTGGAGAAATCCCGGGAGGAAGCCATCCAAGAGACGCCTACAGGTAGGCTCAAAACCATTTCCGCCGAGTGGCTGGGGATGCTCTATCTTGGTGCTCAGTCTTGGAAAGTTGGAGATTCCTGGTGTTGACATAGAACGAATCAGAGAGGAAGGACCATCTGGCTTGGGAGCATTCTGAGGAGATAAGTGGGAATTAGGGAATGCTGAGGGTCTGGCTGGCAGTGAAGCTAGAAAAAATCTTTAGAATTTCTTTCCTTGAGAATTTGGCAAGCCAAGAGGAAGACATGCTTTCATTGAGAAGGCAAGTGGTCTTTTGATACCTGGGAGCATTTGGAGATTGAGGTTGGAAATTTGGGCTCCCAGGTGCCTTTACGTGTGTGGTTTCAGGACTGCTGGCTGCTAAGGGCTCATTACTGGTCACATCTGAAGGAAGAAAGTCCCCCTAGCCTCCCATGGGTAACTCACGGCTGTTCCTGAGTTTGGAGACTCATGTCAAACCCCAAGTCTTTTTAAGATTGGCTTTTTAAGATTGAAAAAGTTGTCAGTTTGAAATTTGCCTTATTTCTACTTTACTAAAGCCCCTGGAAAAGATGGGTTGGTTGTGGGTGCTGTTTCAGGGGAAATGCCCATGTTGCTTTCAGGCAAATTTGAAAGCCTGGAATGGCAAGATATTAAATCCTGAAATGTATTCTCTTCTATGTTCTGCCAACATTCGCACTGTCTCCCAAGAGGAAAAAACAGAACTGAATTGCTTTATAAAGAGACAATCAGAAATTGTTTTGCATTATTCTTCAATTTATTTTTCATGTATGTGTATATATGCATGCATATATAATATATATGCATATGCATGGCATATATGTGTGTGTGTGTGTGTTTTATTGATGTCTTTTTTCCCCATCACTCTCATTTACAGAACATCTTCTCCTCTGTGCTCCCCTACCTCTACTGAGCCATCACCACTGAGCTGTCCCGTTTAATAAAGTGTAGAGAAGAAGTGATTAGAGAAATCCCTGATTGGTTTAATAAGTTTGTCAGTTCACACGATGAATTTACTGGATACGGATGTTTGTTAGACTGGAATACCTTCTACAGGGACATGGGCCTTGGGGGAGGAAACTGTGCGTTCCTCTGTTCCATAGTGATTGGAGTCATTTCCTAATGATTGATAGATTGTGACCCAGGGGGCCTCCTGATTCCATTGGAACCTCTCTTTCTGTAGCCTATAAGAGATCAGAGGAAAAATGGCTCTACCCATTCCTTTTGAACCCTTCTCAAGTGATTTCTCTACCTTGTATATTCAGACTGAGTGTTACACAAGAAAAATTAGCTAAGCAAAACCAGCTGATGCAAGAACCATGGCTGACAGTGTATGCAATGTTCTATACCCATAGTCTCCCACCTCTCCAAAGAAAGGAATTATTTCCTGAGCTCTTCTCAGGGTCAAGCTTGGTTATCACAATTATACTATTTGGCTTCATTTGAATATTTTTGTTTATATTATTGGAGTCATTGTTTTCCTGATTCTCTGGCTTGCATCTTTTTTTTAAATCTAGAAAATGAACATTTTTATTATCTGGTACTTGTCCTAGTTGTATGATGGGAAGTCTGGAAGCTATTTCTGTCATTTTGCTGTAAAGATAGAAGTAGGGAAGAGCTCAAGGAATTTTAGAACTACAATGAATCTCAAGATCTTTGGGTCCAATGCCTTAGTTTGAGAAATGGGGAAAATGAGGTCCACGTAGAGAGAAAGTTGCTCACCTTAGGATCATACAGATAATCATGATAGAACTCAATCTCAAACCCAAGTCTCCTGACTCCAAGTCCAGTGATCTTTCCCCTATTATAGCAGCTCTTAACATGGAGTCCGTGAACTTGTTTTCCTAAAAAAATTTTTAAAAAATTATATTCCTGCAGAACTGGTCTCTTTAGTAATCCTCTGTGTTCTGTTTTATGTGTTTAAAAACATAGCTCTGAGAAGTAGACTGAGAGCTTCATCAGATGGCCCAGGGAATCCAGGGCACACAAAATGTTTGATTCCTTGCCCCACAATGAGTTGTCTTTCTGTATGTTTATAGTTTACTGTCATGCTTCTTTCATATCCCATGAGGTAGGCAAGGAAAGCTTAATTTCCATTTTACAGATCAGGAAACTGAGTCTCGGAGATGCAAAGTGACTAGCCCAGAGTCACACCAAGTTACTCAAACTTGGGTCCACATTGGTCCGCCGGAGTTGGCATTGGACCTGAAAGTCAGTGAGAACGTGGTGAAAAATTCAGGGCTCACTCACTATGTCCTCTTGTCTTTGTTCAGGCCTTTGCCCCAGTTAACAAGTCAACACTCAGAAAAAAAGAGAATTAAAAAGAGTTTATTTAAAAATACACTAAGGTAGCAAGTTGATTCCTAGATATTAGCAAGGGATTCAGGATGGAGCCAGCTTTTATTGATAACTTTTGTAATGAGATAAAGACAATTTGAAACCGTGCAGGTTAGCAGAAGGGGATGGGCTCCTCCCCAAATGTGGTATCATAAGGAATGAGATTATAGCTAATAGGAGTGGGCTTCTAACATGCTGGCTACCAGGTAGGGAATACTTGTTATGTGCTAGATAGCTGCAGACTGGGTGATGCATCTCCCAACATTGATTAACAGGTACCCAGAAAACAAGCCAGACTAGAGACAATGGGGGTCTCTACCTCAATTTTAATATTCTCCTGGTTGACCTCTTCTTTGGTTGAGCAGACATACACACGTCATGGCAAATCATGGATGGAAGTCAGGCCATGTTTCCTCTCATAATAGTTAGTTTTCCAAATTGGGATTCCCTTTGGAGCAAAGAAACCATTCCTCTTAGATGTACCCTTTTTTGAAAGCATAGTTGATTCTTTCTTCAAGTTTTAGACTCAACAAAAGAAATAATGGCTATTTTTGAAATATAGGTAGTTAGGCTGTATTCATAGACAGCTTGGATGAAAGCGGGGCCATCTTGATGGGCTTCTCATTCTGCCCCAAGGACAGGGGAAAAAGAGAAGCCATTTTTGCTAACCAGTGAAGTCAAGCCAACTGGATGAGAAGAGGGGAAAATGAAAACAGTAATATGAAGCAAACAGAGACGAGTCAGATAATGGCAGCCACATTCCTGATGTCCTCTTACAGGTTTCACAAAGTGATGTTTTTGCCAAGTGCTGTTGATTTTTCAAGGTGGTCACTGGAGATAGTGGGCAGCACCAAAGGAAGCCTGGCTGTTGATTAGCCTGGCCTGGCTTTATGGCATTCTAGAAAGGCGGCTCAGTATATGCACATGTGCCCTGGATAGATTTCCACAGTGAGAAGTTGGTTTTCATCCAGCTAGGTTTTGGACAACGTACAACTGCTTATAAGTGTTAGTATTTATTTTTTTTTGAGGGGGAAGAATGGAAGAAATGACCGATTGAAAGATGAGCTTTTAAAAAGAAACCATTTGATGGAAAATTGGGATATTAGAAATCAAACCACTCTGAGTTCTAAGGGCAGGGCTGTACATTTTCAGGAGTCTGCCTTTCTTTGTGATAGTTGGGACTCATAATTTTTCCCTCTTTGGAATATGTACATATCTATCTATCTATCTATCTGCCTATCTATGAGTGTATATATACACATACAGATATATGAAATTTATATTTAGACTATATATCCACTATGTCAATATATACAAATTATATATGTGCTATATAGAAAAGTATCTCTCTATATGTACATATATATATATATATATATATATATATGTATATCCCCTCCCATCATTACAAACGTATTTAGTCAAGCAAAACAAATTCTTACATTGTCCATATCTTTAAACACACAGACACACACAGATATACACAGACACATACACGTTCACATACACATAGACATGCGCACACACACAGACACACACAGACACAGACACACAGAGAGAGCCTCCCTCAATCTGTACTCAGAGTCCGTTGCTTTTCTGTCTGGAGGTGGATAGCATGTTTCATTATGTTGCTGTTGTACCACTCTCTATGACCCCATTTGGGGTTTTCTTGGCAGAGATACTGGAGTGGTTTGCCATTTCCTTCTCCAGCTCATTTTATAGATTGAGGAAACTGAGGCAAACAGGGTGAAGTGACTTGCCCAGGGTTAGTAAGTATCTGAGGCTGGATTTGAATTCAGGCCTTCCTGGCTGCAGGCCTGGCACTCTGTCCACTGCACCATCTAGCTTCCCCTTTCATTGTGGGGCCTTGATTTATTGGAAAGCAGTAGATTATTTTTGCAAACGGAGCAAAGAGCAGCAGTGTTTAGATGCCTTCTAGTTGCAGCAGTGTTTAGATGCCTTCTAGTTGATGTTCTTGTAAGAACCCAGAGGCTCATCTGCCAGGACCTTGATGCCTCCTATAAAAAAACCCCAAAAAACTGTCATTATGAGATTTTAAAATAGTTTATTTATACTTTATTTTTAAAAGGATGTTTGGGCTGTGAAGGTGCAGACAATATGAAGATGCGATACTCTTTTCCATTGTATTTATCCAGCCCCATCTTTATTCTCTCCAGTAGCAAGAATATGGGATTTTGACTGAGAGGAACCAGGTTTGAATCCCAGCCCAGCTGCTGAGTAGCTGTGTGTCCTCAGGCAGCTCACTTAATTCTCTGGGTCACAATTTCCTTCTCTGTAAAATAAAAAGGTTGGACTCTATGGTTTCTGAGGGCCCTTCTGATTCTAAATCTCTGGTCCTGTGACTGTGAGATCATTCAATTGTACAGATTCGGTGCTTTCTTTTTGGAAGGACTGCTGCCCCAAGATGTGTGTTTTTCCCTTTGGCCCAGTAAATTCTCTGTTCCTAGAATGAAACCAGTCTATTGTATTAGGAAGAGAAAGTTGGGGTTTTTTGTTTGTTGTTTCTCTGACATTGAGTTTCAGAATTTTTTTTCCCATTCTAAATTCTGAGCTAGTTCAGAGGCCTGATTTGGTGATAACATCTATTTGAGTTTCTGTTTTCCAGTTTGGGGTCTGGTGTTATTTCATGTGGCATATGGGCCACAT